TCGATTCGATTGCCACGTAGCGTTTCGTGCCTTCCGGCGACACCCGATGGCGCCACGGTCGCCAAACACATGGCTAGACACAACCTTATGTATATTATCTCACCAGTTGTGTCCGGCAGACGTCTGTATTAGGCCGTGGATCGTCCGGCCCACCGGCCTTCGCCTAGCCACTCGAGCCGCTTTGAAAGCCTACAGCCTCCGCCCACAATAACCTGTTCTGTCGCGGTGCTGCAGTGCGCGGTGATGGGGGCGTCGTAGCTTAGATACAACAGTGCAGGAACGAGCTAACGAACGTATGCCCACACCGCCAGGGCAAAACTCCCACCCCGCCACTTAGGACTCGCTTACGATGTATAACAAGTGTTATTATACGGTAAACACAGAAGGCTTAGACACACAGTATAGATATGAACCACAGCGGTGCAAAAGGGCACAGTACAGTAAAAGTATCGGCGCTGCCCTCCCGTGCAGCTGCCGCCCACGAAATAGACTACTCCTCGCTTTTTCGTGCAACTCGACACGTTTACTTAAGGCCTAGTACTTGTATTATTCACCGCACCCTACAACGACAGGAACAAAAAACGCGGGCTTACTCACGAAACGGCCGCCTCAGAGGCCCAGAAACGCGGTGCGGGCTTACTCTCTCTCTCTACCTCTCCCAACTCTCTGTATTTCTCTCTCTCGCCTCCAACTCTCGAATTCTCTGTCTTTCTCTAGCCTACTCTCTAACCTTCGATCCTATCCGCTTCGCTCCAACCCGCGAAACTACACGAGAACAACGGCGAATTCCCGAGATCGATTTCGAATCCGAATTCCGATGAATGCGAGGATCGCCCGGGCACGAGCATGCCAAGTAGGTCTCACAACCCACACCGGTCCGCGTCGTAGCCGCGGTGCCGGTGCACGCTAGGTATCGTTTTGCGGCATCGACCTGACGGTCGATTCTTGCAAGGGGGAGGAGTGTTAGCGCGTGGCACGCGACCCTGACCGGCGCATTCCTACAGGGTGGCTCCCTTGGAGACCAGAGTGTGGAGTGATCAGTTTTGGTAATCTGTATAATTATCTGGTGATGCTCTGCTGGTTTAATTAGTGTGCGTTTTCTGTTCGTTTTGCCGGCCCTCATCAATACACGATGGTAGACAAACGGTCCGGAGTCCCACTGCATGGGGGCAGCCATGTGGCGTAACCACCCGCTCCAGCGGCGCTGAGTGGCGGCGCGCCTGTGATAAACAGCTAGCGCCAGTGACGTTCGGATCGAGAGAGCACGGTATGAGTTCTACGCGGAATCGCGTGCAGGGAGGGCGAGCTAGGTGTCCTTGCGAGGTGCGGTCACTTAAGCCCGCCAGTAGGAAGCGACCTCGGAGTAGTGCCACGTCTACTCGTTGCGTATGCATGCTGTAGAGTTGGCCTGTGCAGCTGTGTGTGCTGTGGCGGTGTGATTGGCGGTGACAAGTAGCGTGACGACGTACCATACTACTACTAGCTACTTAGTGGCTGAGCGTACTGTACCGCAGTCACCTGGCCGCGCGTTTTGGCGTGCTGCCTTGCACTCATGGGCGTGTGAGAAGACAAGCCTAGGCGCGTACGTTGATTGGTGAGGTAGGCACTGTCGTATTTGCTCCCGTTGCGTGTAGGTGAGCTGAATCAATACAGCTACTATTAGTTAGCGAATATTTGTAACAGGTTTGGTTTAATATTCCTAGACTAGAGTACGGGTTATGAAATCAGTATTAACTCTCGTGCCACGGCCTGCACGGAAGGGAGAGCGCGCCGCTTACTGTAGCCTATGCCCGCGCTGCCGTTCGCTTCAGCGTTATTCTACTTCGTTACACCTCTGTGCTGGACCCGTGGTGTTGCACTGTTATTCAACGTAACCGTATATAAGGCCGGCAGGCAGCGAGTGGGCTTAACCGCCGGTGTCGGTGTCTGGAGGTGTGTTCGCCCCTCGGTCTCGCCCATGGTGACTAACTCTAGCGACGCACCGATACGGAACACGGCAGAATTAGGTTACTTGCGGGGGCGCCAGTAGCTTCGAAAGGCTCGGGTGCGCCCTAGCCGAGGTCCGGGGCCGACGCATCACGGCCGGACAACGTTACAGAGCACAAACGGTAAGTGCCTATCCTAGGCCGTTGATGTTGCTAAGCCATTTTGTGTCGACCGCGACGTGTGGCCCCATCGAGGTCAGTCGCCGGAAAGCACGGAAACGCCGACAGCGAGATTGCAGACCTATGGTCATTTTCGTCATGCACGAAGTCAGCATGCAGCTGCTAGAATTCACATGAATGTCCGTCGTCCGTAGTGATCAACAGTTACGCCCACATAATCTAAACGCGCGAGTACGATCTTGATATTCGGGACGTCGGGCGGGGGGGAGATCACGAAAAGGACTCGGGCCATGTATAATTTGGGCGTTCAATAGCTACAAAGCGTCAAGCATGTGTCAATAGGCAGGGAATATTTCCTAACGTTAAGGCTAATAGGAGGAAATACGAATTGCTGGCACAATTCTTCAACGGCCTCTACCTACGCTGCTTAAATATTCAATGTATAGTGTGATGGGGCAGGAAAACCCATCAACAGCGCGAACATTGGAGCGTCACAGGTCAAAGGAGCACTTACCGGCAGTGGCGGGAAAGCGGCAGATATCAGACATTTTCGTGAGGACATGGGCGTAACGGCACCGAGCTTTCCAAAACTTTTTTGTTATCAGCGCGACCTACCAGTTTTTATCAACTTTTATTGAAAGGACCGTGAAATCTACTTTCGCACTGAGTGCCGAAGAGCAAAGTGTCTGATTAACACTTTTGACCCACAATGGGAGGCGTTAACATGGATCTTGGGTGACTGCTTACAAAGGCGACGAAACTGCCTGTGCTATTAGAGCCCCTCCACCCGCCCTCCCCCCACCCTCCCCCTACCACCACCACTATAGCTCGGCCCCCGCTCGACCGCAATATATGCCATGATAAACGTTAATATAGCGAAGTCATTAAAGTACACAGCTATATCTTTATTACATGTACTACAGCGTATAGCAAGCCTCATCAACGCGGTGGCGGGAGGCGGCAACTGGATTCAGTTGCTAGCTGAGTTTATCAGAGAATACCTGTCTACATCGTACACAATCAGTTGAGCCGCTGTCGCTCTGCGCACTTGTTTATTTCATTACTTTCGGATCAACAGTCGGGGGGGCCATTGCCCCGGATTTGGCCCCCCCTAACTACGGCGACTGATAATGATATCATCCCCATGCATGATCAGATGAGAATCAGTTGAGCTTATACATCATTGAATTGATTAAGGCCCAAAAAAAAAAAACTGTGTTTCCGGCTTTCCCGACCCTGAGCATTGTGAGGTTAATATTATCACACACGGTTCTCTGACCCTTTTTACATTTTTACTTTTTTTAGCGCCGATCCTAAATAAATACTTTGCGTTCGGGGTACACCCGACCCCGACTTCAACATATTCGGGGGAGTGCATTAAAATGCCGTTGCGACTGCAAGCGTCACTTTTAGAGGGTTTCAAGAAAAAATAAAATTCAAAGATACCGCCGTGCGCATCATTACATATTCAAATATCCGAACTGACTTGTCATTTTACTTTACCTAAAAGAGGAGAGTTTCAAAATTTATAAACAGAACTTCTGGTTGGCGCCCGAACGTGAAACAGTCCTACCTATGTTTCCTAGAATCCGACAACGTGAAACAGTAGCGTATTAGAGCCTGGGCGGTAACTCATAAACAGAGCCTGAAGGTCGGTATGGGAGCAGCGGCCGGCTTGATGCTACGCGATCGATCGCCGTTACTTATGATAGTTATACGCATGCTATCGTGCTATACGCTGCCGCCCAGGAGCCGATTTTACACTTCGGTACTCGTTTGTCAAAGGACGATTAATCGAGCCTCCGTTTTGGAGCGCATTACCTAACACTACTATCCAGTAACACGACACGCAATACCAGTACACGTACACGAGTAAACGACTGGTGTTCACATCTTTGTTAAAAACGAATGTCATGACTTGCAGCAATGTACATGGCAACTGCAAGTCATTGCATCTCGTGTCTCCTGCCCATTTCAAGCCTGTATACGCCTATATTTAACTTGGTGCAAAAAAAAATTTATATTCCTGAGTCCTACCCATGTTTTTGCAAGAAAAAAAATAAAAAATAAAAAAATATACCTACCACCGACCCGAATTTTCACGGAATCCATGCTGACCCGCCAACCAAAGCGGATTTTTTTGTTTGGCCTTTCTCATATTTTTCAAAATATAAAATTTTAAACTGTGAAAAATCGATAGAAATTGAGTAAGTTGATCAACCCATACGCCACGCTGATGGCCCCGATAGCGTTTATACCGCGTATAGGGAGACAACTCGCGCAAGCACGTGAAATACCGCCGCTGTCACGCGAGATCGATCGCACGTGTAAACAGGACCAATAATGGCCTTTCTAACACCGATTACAAAAAAAAGATTTGGCGAAAAAAAAGTTAAAGCCTACCATTAACCCTACTATTTTTTCAGCTTTTTTTTTGGCCTAATCAATAACTTGCAGTGCATGGACACACTATACCTACGTGCAAATAATTGGGTTAAGGACATCCTTAAAAAATTCTGTTTGCTGTCCCCCGACCCATGATTTTTTTAGTGGGTAGGTAGGTAGGTCTTTTTTGTGAGGCATAATAGTTATTTTAAGTCTGTCCTCATGTTTGCCACACATGCTTTGTGTTTCAGTCTTAAAGTGATTACGTCACCATAAATAGTAAAAAAAAAATATATTTCCACTTTTTCACAAAATATAAGTAATTCTGTTCACTTTTTTTGGTTAAATTGCTGCATTTATACTTCTTATTTTACTATATTGTTCGATGTGAACATACACTCGTGATGCATACATAGCCCATAGCAAGCAATTAATGTTATTAACACTAATATCAAATCGTCCAGGTTTTTTTTATTTTTAACTAGCTGAGAAACAATCTTATCAGGTAAGAATTTGAAGATACGTTTACTCCTGTTAGTTCTTACTTTTAATGTAAAAAAATGGCAACAAACATTTTACAAATTTTTCCATAGAAAATTCGTGACGTAATCACTTTAACTATGAATGTAAAAATAAAAATGGAACCCAAAATGTAAAAAAAAACTTTTGGGTTGTGGCTATTTTCGTGGGTCGGTCGGAGGACAGCAAACATAATTTTTTAAGGATGGCCCAATGTATGTATATTATGAACATCTAATAAAATATATAGATGTTTACAGCAGGGTAAAAAATACACGGGAGCGATGAGCGATTCGCTCTTCAAACTTCCGAAATCGCTCCCATGAGGCTCAAAATAGCTCCCGTAAAATTTTTGACAATAGCTATTTTTCCCACAGACTTGAAAAAGAGCTCCCGTGGAAAAAATTTGTTTCCCCTGGTTCACAGCCACTTGTTAAAAATTCTGTGGACGTCACTGTATGATGTATCATATGGTTCCATGTGGTCATTATCCAAAACCGTGCCATATATTTGAGTCTACATTTGTGGATTTAATTTATGAACGTGTATAGGAAAACAAATTTTCATACGATGCTAGGTGAATGATGGTAGGTCGTGAGCTCAGGGTTGTTGAGTTCAACATAATAAATCATAGCTAGATTAAGGTTAGAAAACGTTGGCTTTCAAATAATTAGGCCTCATGCACTCATTTATTTTGTATTCACTCCTGATGTAATATTATACACATTTTTCTGGAACCAACTGCCATCTTGCCCGACCAATGCTAGATTTAGAGTTCTATCTGAGATATGTGACTATTTGCAGCGGAAGGGCACAGCAAAGGTGAATGCACTGCTGGAGCTAGAGAAATCCGTACAGGAGCACTGGGACAGCGAGCACGTGTTTGAAGAAAATGCACAGGAAGGGTAATCTGTCATACTGATACATATCTAGCAAGGATCAAATTCTACCATAAAGGCCTGTCTCCACACATGCGGCGCGGCACGGAACGCCACGGAAACAGCGTCGTTCACCCCTACCGGCAAAGTTCAAATCTATTATATCTTATGGCGCAGTCTCCACTGACACGGCACGGCGCCAGCCCGTTTTCACGGTGCCGGCTGCCGTGTATGGAGAAAGACAGTTGAACCAATCAATGCGATTGTTTTTTAGCTCATCTGACATAGTCAGATGCAGCTTGTAGAATCGCATGATCGTCCGTGCGTCCGTCCGTCCGTCCGTGCGTCCGTCCGTGCGTCCGTCCGTCAACAGTTGGGCACAAATCTTAACCGCTCGACGTACGGTCACGATATTCGGGTCGTTGGGGGGGATCGTCAAAACGAGTTG